GGTTTGTCGCGTCAAAGGGATCTGTTGCCGAGTGATCTCCTTCTCAATAATACCTCCATGGTAGGATCAGAGTAGGATCAGAGCTTTCGGTTGTGCGACGACGCGACGCTAGAACGGAATCACTCATGCGTGACCGTCCTACTTGGCGTCCTGCGTTCTCTGCATACGTAGATTTGGCCAAATTGCGTTCCACAATGACGTCATTACCTTCTACGTCCTACCGTCGTCATGCAATAGAAAGCTCCTCTAAACCACCAAGCTACAACTGTCCTCATAATAAAATTACTGATAGTTGTGCAGTTTGCTATTACCATCACTGTTTTAATTTTTTTTTATTATGCAATGTTATTAGTCCTATATGTGTAATTTCTGAATTACATTTGAAAAGTAGATTTTAGAGGATAGACAATCCAAGGCTTAATGATAATGAAGAGAGAAGAAGTTTTAATCCATTTTTTAACTAGTATCATCGAAATGGTTAAAATAAAAAAGCTAGATTCCGGAGGAAAAAAACTGATATGTTGTACAACTGATTTTTTTAAAGAAATAAAAAGCATATTTGACCGAATGAGCCGTTAAATGAGATATAGTTTTTTTATTTAATATTTAAAAACTGGGGGGGGGGGGTGTAGAAAATGGATGGTTACGCCCATTTTCCCCAGGTTTTAAATATTCAAAAATCTGTATCTCATTAACCGCTCCTGGGTTTTTCGTCGAATATGCTTTGTGTCGCAGAAAAATCAGTTGTGTACAACATTTCATTTTTTTTCCTCCGGAGCCTTTCTGTATAACACGAGCTTTTGTGAGATTGATTCAGATTATATTTCACTCTCACCTTTACATTCAGCTTATTCAATATAGGCCCTGGGGACGACGTTATCTCCTTTAATCCATCTTCATTGATGCTGAAAGTCAACTTTACCCCTGCTGAGATAACTGACCTGTCCGATGTTGGCCAAACAGAGCTTCGGGTATCGAAGATATTCTCGCCCTTATCAACGTTCCTCAATACTGAAGAAACATAGTAAATTAGGTACGGTCCACAAAGTATGCATACTATATATAAATCTGAGACAAATAGTTGTCTGAAATAAAAATTGTACTATTTCATAGGCCTCGTTATTAAATAACTAATGAGTAATTGTTAGCGTAAGCCTATGTATCTCCTAATAGAGCAGCAAATCTCGGTCGATTTAGCTGATTTTAGCAACTATGTCCTCGTTCAGATCATGTTCAGATTCATTGCTTTTCTCATTATTTTCGGTAGGTCTGGTCGAAGGGCAGCCGCAGCGTTAACTTAGCGCACCTTCTTTTGAAAAAAATGTCGTTTATTACTTAACGGTCCGTATGCACGAGGATTATCCCATGGATAGACAAACCAATCGTTATCACTGTATGAGTATATTTAAACAGGAAGTCATGAACAAGAATGTAAAATTAAGCCTATGATGATGATGATGATGACGATAATGATAATGATAATAATAATAATAATAATAATAATAATAATAATAATAGAATAATGATTATGATGGTGTAGATATGATGATAATTATACTATATGATGATAATGATGATGATGATGATGATGATGATGATGATGATGGTGATGATGAAGATGAAGAGGAGGAGGAGGATGTAGCTGATGTAAGAGAATAATGGTTATGTGAACATTTCGTTCGAAACAAAAATTATTATTTTTAATATAGACCTACACTTAGTATTTCAAATAGAAAAAAAAACCATATAATTAATTTTGACAATTCAATGTCGTACGCATGTGTTCTTACTAATTTCGGTTAATTCAACGAATTAGTTGAAACAAAGTCAATATACATTGCAACCAACTCACCAAGGAAGTGTCCAGTCCTTGCTTTCTCGACTACTCGAACATGCCTTGCGCCCACAGGGATAGTTGTAATCACATAGGCATCTGGCAATATAAACACAATTGGCAGACACGAGTAATAATAAATCGAATTAAATACGTCTGTAATTCGTCTGCTGTTTAATATTTTTGAGAGAGTAGCAAGCTAAGCTTTAGCCTAAGCCGGACATAATTTGATGTGCTGTATATGGCTATCTTTCAAATAGATCGAATCACAGAATCACAATCATAATCGTTAAGTTGAAACATAGTGGAACATAAATATTTTTAATTAATACTTAGAGAGAGCATTCCTATTCATTTGTAATGAAATTATAATTTGATAGCGTTTTTATTTTAATACACGCTACCGTAATCAATGTTGCTTCGGCTTGTGGCAGTATGGTTTTTCCGTTAAAAGAAATTGTTTTCATGCTGTTTTTGATTTCTGTTAGCCTACAATTATTCTTTGCTTTATGTGAGTAAATATTATAATTATTATTTTCTGAAATTTAATCTAAATTATGAAGCGAATTTTGTTGCTAAACTGACCAATCGGCCATGTTTGTTTTGGTCACGTGGCCTAACTTATTGCAAATTAACGCACTCTGGTTTACGTTTTAGGCAAAGTCTTTTTACGAACCAGCCGATTGAAAATAATAATTAACCAAAAATCGTTGTCAACGAAACGAACCAGACAAATACGGCAATTGATTATCAAGTATCAGTATCAAGGAGATAATACAAAAATATTTGAATTAGCATATTGATATAATATAACATTTAATAATTTATATTACTTACTCTTTTTCATTTTTTTCTTGAATGCTATTTTTGTCGTTGAACACGTTTCATTTGTACCCTGACATACGCCGCAACTGTCAACCTTCGCCTGTGATCCTATAACGTTATCACAACCAAGTTTCTAAGCGGTTTAAAATATACACAAATTAAAAAAAATCCTTTGTATATAATACAACTTTATCAACTGTATAATAGTGATAAATATAATATGAATATACATGTTAATGTATTACGATGTTTTCGAAAAAAAATATATATATAATGATAATAAAGAAAATTTCTCCTTAAAAGATAATTGAGGACTCACAAAACAATAGGTTATAGTATAGGTTTAAAATAATATTAGTAATAAGATCCATAATAGTAATAATAATAATAATAATAATAATAATTTCAGTCATTTGTTAAGGGAATAAAGGTATTTACCGTGCATTCTCCATTGATACAAATAGATGATGGACTGTCATAGGAACAAAAAGTACCATCTGGGACTGGTCCGCTGACAACCACTTCCCCAGACATTGGGGGCTTATTAGGAACACACTTCAACAAACATTGCTCAGATTCTAAGTATAAAGATAATCACCTTGATTCTATTTTCTTCATGGTTTGGTAAATTAAAGATAAAAGAGAGCCTCCTAGCCCAACCTATCATGTCGGGGCCTGAGGTGTACGACAAGCCAGCTCATTACTGACATTGCTCGTCTTGAACTGCGATAGTCGTCCTGTTTTAATAAAATAATTAGTACAGCTCAGCTGTACTCTCTATGTACTCCATTTATGTCACAACGCCAAGGAACATGGTATTAGCGCTATACAAATCCTTGTTGATTGGTGGATTGATTTATTGATTGATTGATTGATTGATTGATTGATTGATTTATTGATTGATTGATTGATTGATTGAGGCCTATATTATATCAAGCCACGTGCTGAAAATTATATAGCTATATACAACTTTTAATATTGTAAATATATTTTTTCCAACCCCCTCAAAATATCAACTAACCATTTTCAGCAACTGCTGGTATCAATACCTGATTTTTCTCTCTGCATAGTTCGGCTCGAAGATCAGTTTTTACGCCATCACATAGCTTAAAAAATATATTAATATTCTGTTGTAAGTCTAGATGCTTTATTTTCGTTTTGTAATACAGGAATGCAGACGCTATTCGCACCTCAATATACAATGCGTTTCTTGTTCTTCTAAAGTAGTAATAATATTTCCGGTTTTGTGTCTCTAACATTAATTTCTATACATCATTGTACTAAGATTTTTACCATATTTCTAATTTATCGTGGCATTATCATTACCATTGAAAATAGGACAATTAAACTGTCTCCTCTAGTTGTTTAGGCCATAAAGTAGCATATACTGAGACCTGAAGCCTACCGTATAATCAATGAGGCTAACCATTGAGACAATTGGGACAGTCCCACACAATTTTTCTAACGAGTCCACAAAGCATGGGTCCACATTTAAAAATGGGTTCAAATTATGCAGTTGTATGCATAAAGTAAGTTCACTTTTTGAAAAATGGGTCCAGATTTCTCACATTTAATCTAAAATGGGTAATATTTTTAGAAAATGGGTCCAGATTTCATATATTTGCGTAAAATAGGTCCACATTATTTGAAGTTATGCGTAAATTGGGTCCACAGAATTGTCCCGCACAGTTTGAAAATCCTGGCCACGGCATTGTGTATAATACCTACGGAATAAAGTCCTTTACCCAGGGAACAATTAAATATACCGGAACTGAAGTAGTCCTAACTACATTAAATATTAAAAGGAAATCGTAAATTATCTAACAAACCTGAACATTGCAAGTCGTGTACTCTATATTATCTCCTTCGCAGTATTTACCTCCATTTTTAGGTCTACAAAAAACAACAAAATATAAGTATAATTCAACAGCTCGAGCAAAAATAGAATGTTAAATAAATGATTTAACTTACATGTTATTAATAGTGTGTACGGACGGAAAGAACACTGTATTTATGATAAAACTACATGAGATTTACATATATGCCACATATAGGCATGCATCCACACATATACATATATAAATAATCATATAATTGTAGAAAATGTGCTCGAACAAAACAAAAGGTTATGCAAAGATAATCGAAAGCCTAGCAACAAAAACGGATTCCCTCACAAAGCACACTCCAGCGGTCGCATCTGAAAACATAATGAAGTCAGTTATCTGACGCATACAAATATCGTTGTTGTTTACATGAATTTTCCACTCTACTCATCGAAGTGAATTGATAGGGGTTGTTTCTAAATTGTAATGCATAGGCACATCATGACTATATGTGGTCATACAACAGTTGGAGTGGTTGGGCGCAGCGGTTGCGTATCGGTATCTCAACCTCGAGTTCGGGGGTTCGAACCTTCGCTGTGCACTTTACCTACGTCTGTCTATCTCTCTCTCCACCAAGGAGTATAAATAGGTACCGGTACCCAGTGGTTCACTGCCGGGAAGGAAAAAATGCGGCGTGGAAAGGAACTAGCCACCATACCACATAATGCAGAGGCTTTGTACGATGGGCTAACAGCTCATTCACCTACGTTCTGGACAGAACTGCTTTGTTCACATTATGACATTCTGTGACAGATATCTGTGATTTGCCCATATTTATATGGAAACGATGTTGCTATATCACCACCATACTATGGGCATGAATAATCCAATGGCACGTCCATTATATGGGCAAATTACAGGTGGCTTAATATTTTAATATTAGAACACTTACTCCGGATTTGTACACTTTCTGCTCCTACTGGATATGCCTACTCCGCATGATACGGAACACTCGGTGAGTTTACTCCAGTCCGTCCATCCACCATCCACACCGTTTTTCTTAGGTTGCTTCTTGGTAGAGTCGACGCACTTTCCACGAATGCACCACTGGCAGACAAGAAAAATCAGAAATATCCCAAATTTGTTTTGAATATACAAACATATATTATAGACTTTACATACATTTAAAACGAATATAGAAATAATTAAGTATCAGACACCAAACCAAGTGCCGATTATCCTGTCATAAAGAAGACAATAAAGTTCTGTAGGCCTACAGATTACGGTATCGAATTTTCCTTGACAAATGAAACTATGGTAGGCTTATGCCTATAATATTTAGTCAAGTTCCTATAATAAATGGTCATGTTGTGGTGTCATCATGACCAAATTTAGGCTGTCACATGTTTTTGTCAAATACAATGTCGATAGTCCGGACCGTGCTTATTTAATATAACATAAATAATATAAAAGCTTAATTATTATTAGTCTAAACTTTATTATGTTTATATGATATTAAATTCAATAAATGTCTCGGTGGAAAAAAAAAACATAATAGACCTAGTAACCGTTTAGGTTTTCTGACTATTGATTAAGGACATTGTATTGTTTGTTTAATTTTTTGCATACATAAAAAATGAAATACAATTTTTTCAAAAATAGCCAAACAGAATATACCGTAACAACTAGTGTGAATGTTTTGACAAAAAAAAATGGGAGTCACTTATTTTTAACATTATACTCAAATTCAATACTGAGTTTTATATATTTTGATATTCCAAAAACAATCCAATGGCATACTTTTATTCAATTGCATTGTAGGTACTACTGATAATAATTGTATGTGTTACCTTGTTCTCTCTGCATACTGTACCCTCTAAAGGCGGAACATTTTTATGTAAGCAGAAATACGGATTATCCATTTTACTACACCACAGCGTTTTGCATAACATATTGCCAGTTGCAAACTAGAAAATATCATATAATACGTATAAAACTAAATATAAATAGATATCGTTTAAATACTAAAATACCTTAAAACGTCGAACTTCTAAAGATTCTGTTGTAATAAATAATAATAATAATAATAATAATAATAATAATAATAATAATAATAATAATAATAATAATAATAATAATAATAATAATAATAATAATAATAATAATAATAGTGTAGTTTTATATATAGCACATATCCATTTGATGTAAGATGTCCCGGGCGCTTGATATGTGGACTAGGAACTCGATCAATGACTTTCTTCGCCCCTAAGGGTCCCTTCGTGTCTGTGTTACGTTTATGTTACGCTTGCAAACCCTTACACAAAAGACAGCATGATTAGGTAATTGACAATTTAATGCCGTAATAGATCTCGATCGCAGCATGTTGAACAACACATACCGGTATCTAAGCGGGCAGGTAACAAAAATCCCTAAAAAGACTGGGGACACTTTTTAAATGTATAATAATCAGACCCCAGAGGGCGGTAGGCAGGGTCTGACATAAATCACTTTCCTCGTTTTGGTAGAAAGGAGCTTTTACTTTACTATCTATATTACGTTATCCATTGAACAGCTTGAGAGTAGGTCTAATTTGGAATACTTAATTTTGAATGACGTTGGTTATCAAAAGTGGATTGAATGATTGAAGAATAATGTCGAAAGTAGATGTACTTTTGGATTTAACTTATAGGCCTAACATTGAACACTTTTCATTTACGATAAATGCATGGACTGGAAGTAGGCCTACAGGTATTAACATACTTTCTTTTACTATTAACATATGATCAAAGGCTATCGTTAAGCCCAGGGGGCACGGTTAGGCTTCGGTGGCACGTGTGCTTACGATATCATCGTCCACCAAGATATATGACTATTCTCCAGAGGTAAGACAAACAATGTAGATAAAATGCCATGCCTAAGGATATAATAAATGATGGCCAGCGAAGGCTTTTGAACTTCTGAGAGTGGACCTCAAAGTTCACAGGCGTCTACTTTATAGAGGGCGTTTACCAATAAAGAGGAATCTGAACTGAGGTTTTATACTTTAATGTAGGTTAGGCCTACTGAGTATTGAACCGGAGAAAGAAGTTTTGGCTCACCTTTCAACACGTGTATAATGTAATGTATTATAAGGTATGATAAAATGAAAAAAAGGGAAAAAAGAAATACAGAAAGAGAGAAAGAAAAAAGATTCCTAGATAGGACACCGATCGGACAGTATTGTTACGACTAAAAACAAGTAACCATTGATGTAGACTTACAGCAGTTAGGTCTTATAGTTAGCATGTAATTAGTATCGATGGTTTCAAATGACTAGGCCTTTTACCCCTCCCCTCCTCCTTCGTTAGAGGAAGTTGTCAAAACTCGGGGAGAAAAAAAATAACACGTACATTTCAGAAGGCTGAAAACCAGTGGGAGATTCGGTGGGGGGAGGGAAGCTAGTCTCTGCCCCCGGCACCCACTAAATTTTTCTAAATTAAAAAAAAAAAATAAAAAAATATCTATTTAATTTTGAGTCTACCCCAACCATGATGGGGCTGAGGTAGTATAGACCCTCCATCCGTGGAAGTCCCTTTCTGGGCCCCCACTATTTCATATTAATGGATCCAGAACTGAATTTTTTACACGTTTTCAGAATATAAAATCCCCCTAAATCTTTTCCGAGTGGATCTGAGCTACTTCCCACCACTCCCACTTATGTTCTCGGCAGGTCGCCTCCCTTGTTGGGATCGACCTCTACCGTCGGCTAAAATCCACATTAAGAAATGTATCATCCTTAGGGGTCATCCATTTTCATCATTTTCATGAGAGTACAAATCATACTCTTTTTGCTAACCCCCCC